AAAATAAATTTACCGATACAACGATAATATTTTGATTTTATTAGGCTTACCAGAAATTGAAGAAGACATTTACCCTGCCCTCTGTTGATTGTTCGATTTTCACTTATAAAATAAATATATATGTAGTTATAAAATATAGTTCCGAATAGTAAAAAATAAATGTCTAACCTGTCATAATAAACATTTTTTTGTTTTACATTAAGTACAAGAAATTGTCATTATCTTCTTCTTTTTTCTTTCTTTTATTTTTTGTAGACACCTTTTCAAATAACTTTCCTGCATTACATTTGTGCTAAGCAGAAAAGTTAAAACTTGCCTGCTTTACTGATTATGGTACAAACCCTTTAAACTTTATTAAGCTTAAATACTCTTAAATTCTAGCATTCACATAATGCGTGATCTAACACACACACACACACACACAGGTTTCTTCTTTAACACATTAGTGTAACCAAATCATATTAAAGTTATCTTAAAAAACAGCAACTACAATGCACAATAAAAAACCTTTCACCAATATATACATATTGTTGCGTCCGCGAGGTCACGTGACTATTATCACGACACTTCTTTCTCGAACCTTCGTGAATTGTCGGGAGATTACTAGATTGGGAGTAGTCTGGTATATATAAAATGGTCACAACGTGACGGAACAATGTGTAGGTAATGAGTAATTGAACTGCAGCCAGAGAGTGTGTAATTGAACTGAGCACGTGAGACGTTCGTTGTTATAGTGTTTGTTATAGAGCGACTGTTGAAATTAAGTGTATCGTAAAGTTGTACTCGGAAAGAATAAACCAGTTTTATTTAAGAAAGGACTTGTGTCGCTAAAGTTTCGTCGGAACGAATTTACGGAAAATTAACTAGCGAACGGAGACGTAACAATATAATGTGTTTCCTTCCGAAAAGCAAAAAACAACAATTAACATATTTTTACATAATTAGTAATAGAAATTGGGCTTAAGACTACCAGTTTTTTTTTCCTTTTTCTTTTCATTGTTGTTTGTTTTTGTAAACAATTATTCACAATTATGCTAAAACAAAATTATATTATTTGCAAACTCTGATGGATATCTAGGTAAATAACAAAATGGTTTCTTTGTAATTAAGCACAAAACTACACATTGAGCTATATGGGTATCGAAACTCGGTTTCTAGTGTTGTAAATCCGCAGACATGCCGCTGTGCCACTGGGGGGAGACAACAGAATGGAGAAAAACGAAAAATTTTAATGTTCTTGACTGATTGTAGGTATGATGAATATTGCTGCATGTCTGGTTATTCATTTTACTATTTTTGAAGTTTATTGATGTGGTTGAAGAAATTATATCGTTAGTCAACTAAATAGAAAGTATGTCCAAATAATTTACATGTAATTACAGAAATATTATTCAACTTCAATTAAATCAATTGAGCTCTTTTTTTAAGTAATCTTATATCTGACTTTTATCATCAAATTCGTGACAAAATAAATATTGGCTGAATTCAAAATTACAAGTTCTGAAAATTCATTTTGGTTTTGTAAGAAGGTCTTTAAACAAAATGTTACACAATTCTTTTTGTTAGCATGTTTTAAGTACGTCTAACTGTGAGTGGTTGATTTTTCACGCAAAACTAACCAATGTTTATCTAGACATCCCTAATTTTGAAGTGATAGATAAGAGGAAAGGCAACTAGCTAACAGCACTCACCGCCAACTCGTAGACTATTCTAATTGAATAGTAGAATTTAACCGTCACGTATTTTTGTAACGTCCTCAATACCCCAAAATAAGGAACGCGAATTTTTTTTGGCGTTACCAAGTCTCGAAGCATAGATCGCAGATCTAAAGTCTGGCACTACAACCATTGAGTCGTGCCTGGCCCAACTGAGAGTAAATAGGATGAGAAAAAAATAAGTTGGTGAAATCTTGTGAAAGTGAAAAGTCAATGGTTTTTATTTTTTATTGGAGACCAAACAAGATGCGTGATAGAAGTTTTGGACAGTTTTTTTTTTTTTGTATTTAATTTCGAAATGTAGTGAGAAATTATTGGTCTAATAAATTCATTGTTTTATTAAAAACCTCTAGAGACATGAATTAAAATGATGAAATATAATAATACAGAATTTCACATTTATTTCTAAAACGGAAGGTAGAGCTATTGAGATAAACGAAAGTATTTATTACTAGAAGTGTGGCATGAATAACGTGCACGAGCGTAAAACAGTTTGGGTTATCAATTTTTAACAAGTTTTTTGGTAATTAAACTTTTAAACTCACAGAAGCTTTCATTCTCAAATATGCTCCTGTGCGTTCAAACAGAAAAACTTGTACACTTTCGTTGTACATAGAAACAGTCTAATTGTGACACTCAGTAGACAAAAATACATAAAATGTTAAAGCATACAAGTAGTCCTAATACCTTAGAACCGTTATTGTTCATTAAGAAAATGTATATCTGTTACGAAAAAGGTTTTGACAAACGTTCCTGTAGAAATTCTTTATCTATTACAGTAGTCTTAAACACATTCCTTAGTTCTTTTATTTCTAAAAGTTATTTAAGGAAAACATTAAAGTTCAACAAGTACGAAGTATAACACATCACCTATTCAGATATATAGATGCTTCATATTCGAAAATATTTAAAGGAATACATCTCATTGTCAGCAGTTTGTCATAGGAAATTGACCCTCATAGAACAGACTGAAACAACAGTTCACTCAGTAAAATATACCTTATTTTACTAGCTTTAAACGCCAATACTAAAATATACATATATACATTAATACTATTGCATAAACGACAAGAAGACTTCAGAAGTCGCCGTAAAGGAAGTATTGACAATCCATTGTTGAGTGATCAATACAGCTTTTTTGTTTAATTTTGAATCTTAACTTCCCAACAGGAACTCATATTACCAAACAGATGTTAATATCAATCAATAATCTAAGATACTTATCTTTGTTGAGAGGCAATACTCCGAACAAATAAATTCATGAACAAATTCTTTTTTGTGGGTGAATTTAACAAATAGTTACATATGTATTGATTCCATTAGCTAGGACTTTATCACTGAATAAAATAGTAAAACATTGGAATAAGTATTATCGTAAATACATAGATACATACGAAACAGTAATAGAGCGAGTAACAGAGCGTTTTTAGTACATATGTCTTCTACCATCTGTAATTACATAAAGGTAGCTTTTATGAACTGATTTTTAATATGATGTTGTTGGCAAACACATTTCATAAACTCGAACACTTACATTGCTGGAGTTCTTTGTATAATGTATATTATGTTAAGAATAAGTGTGAACTTCTTAAATTTCTTAAATAGAGTTGCAGAGATAAGCTAACTCTCTCTCTCTCTCTCTAAAACGTTCAAGAAAGGCAAAGAACTTGCGTTATTAAACACACTCTTTTTATAATACATTTGATTTTTCTATTCTAAACAACTCCTTATGAAACACATGGGCTAAAAGGTGAAGTCATTGATTCTAAGGTTCAGGAATATTTCTAAATTAGTTCAGAAGCACGACAACCAGTGATCAGCACTTGCCGCTTACGCTGTTAATCTTAATCAAATACCACGATTAATTGTCACAAACATAATGCTCCCACAGTTGAAAGTGCGGAGCGTGTTCAGTGGCATACTTGGACTTTCAATGCGCAGCCCGACACATTAACTTTTAAGCAATACTACCTAACCTCTCCATAAAGCAGTGAGTGACAAAAATCATATTTTCTATTACTGATATTCATGTAAATATTTTTGTTTGTTTGTTATTAATTACAAAGCTACACAATGGGCAATTTGTTTACTGCCAACCTCGGATATCCAAACCCGACTATCAGCATGATAAGCCTTTAGATTTATCGCTCAGCCAATATGTGGATGCTATCTAAATGTAATAGTGCTATACTTTTAACTTTTTGCAATATATTGTTGCTCGCTCTATTCAAACAAATTCATTTTATTAGAACAGAAAAAAAATAAAGTCGGAACCTTAATTTTATAAATTATCTTGCAACATAACGTCTGACTTCATTTTGGAGGGAAGTTTTGATTATATGATCAAATTAATAATGGCAAAAAGTTGATAAATATTATACAGATTTTGAGAGGATTCGATGTATTTATCAATGCATAAATACTTAAACATTTCCATTGTTAATTCATTTGCATAGTTTATTTTTATGTTAATCAATCAACAGGTGACGCTAGTTATATCTATATTGTGAAAGATTCCACAAAGGTTAAATACCTTCATGAGAATACAAACTTAGAATTAATGTCGGAGTTTTGTTTGAACAAAATTACAAATCTTAAGCTTAAAAATCTGTATTTTGACATTCGGACCCTCTTAAGTCATATCTTAAGCCAGTATCAATTGCATTTTTTTTAAAAATCAGAACACGTGTATTGTTATGATTTCCTGTCCTTGATGTTATTTAAGATTATATTTCGCTTAACAGAAAATTATGTTATCGCATTTGTAAACAATAAATAAAAGAACAAATTAAATTAATATATATATGGACCTTTTAGTTGAATTAAATGTTCCACATGTTTTCATCCAATGTGTTAAAGAACCCACGTGTCGCCGTTCAGCAGGAAATGACTAAACAAGCGAAGGTCCTGACACTATTTGGTCTTCCAATGCTCTGTGGGAGAAGAATCACTTGGCAATCAGGTAAATTACAACAACCCTGAGTCTGAGGGATTAGACATAGAAATCTTTCAATGAAATCTTACTTCTCTCAATGATGAAATTATTATTAATTCATAATATATTAATCATAATTTCATTAAAAGTGATCGCTCATCTTCATGACGTCATATGTGACGTCAAAAGATCGATGTTTTCGAGCAGAAGATGGCGACAAGCATAGGAGATATAAACGTGTTTCGGGAGTCAGAAATAAGTGATACAAGGAAAAGACCTTTAGACACTGAATTAGATACCGGCGATACAAAGAGATCCCATCAATCCGGAGGTATTAAATTAATGAATTAGTTTCTTAAAACGTATAATGTAAAATAAAAATATGTGTAAAGTAGGGGTAGCACACGAAAAACAGAAATGCTCCACACGTTCTTTCTTGACCGTACGGTAGCGCCGTCTTTGAGGGCATGAACCGGTCGTACGTGTTTGTTTCGGGGCGACCGTATGAGTCTTACCGGACGAATACTCGCAGGCCACGTCGGAACGGTGAAGCATAGCTTTTTGATATGCAGTAATAATGAGTCGTTGTTTTGGAGAACATTATGACTTTTCTGGTATGATTATTATAAGATTGATGAATTTTATTTCAATTAACTTTTTATGTAAACTACAGTTTTTTGGGGTTTTCTTTCATTGAAGTAGAAGTATCTTTATAGTTATACTTGTAGGTGTGCTTAGTTTCCATGATGGAGTACTACCAGTTACTGAGTTAGTGACAATGTCATTGGCACACAAAAAGTAGTTTAGGACTCTATGTTGTACTGCTTTTACCGATTACTTGCTCTGAGTCTTATATTGCTGCTAAAGAAAATGATAAAAGAACATTAATTTTAATGGTATTAGATAGTGTCAGTAGAAAGTGTATAACTTTTCAAAATTTTGAAATTCAGGTTTTAAAAAAATATTATATGTATATATATTCATATAACATTCTTTTTTTATTTGAAAATTAAAGTTATGAAAAGTATCATGCATGTGATATCTGTCATCTGTAAAATACTTGATTAGAATCAAAAACCTGATCACTTGGGCTGATTTCTTTTATTCAGATTTGTCAGATGTTGCCTATCTTAATAATGGAAAAAGAAGATATCCATTTAAAATTGATGATATGAACCTATTTCAAAGCAAGCCAAAGTTATCAACATTATACTATTTGGAAAATGTTTAGGAAAAAGTCATTTTAACAGTGTATAATTAAAATATGATTGATGTTTTTATGAGGCAGGGTAGACCTGAACAAATGTACATAAAAATATAGAAGATCCACACACTACAACCACAGTGCTTTACTGTAATGAAATGGAATAATAAGGCTCATTAATATTTACTGCACTTGAATTTGAAACGTAAGCGTTAGCTGTTAAAGAGTACAATGTGAGAGAGCTTTCACCACTGTGTTTTGAGATTTATTGACATGTATATATCAATGAGTTTCTGTGTTTAAGATATGTCACTATGAAAGTGAATAAAAATTTTCAACATCTCATGATTTTTTAAATTTTAATGGCATCACCATTGTATCTGAAGAGAGGCAGCAACATGGATAGAGTGATTAAGAGTTCATTGCCAATCCCTGGATTTGTCTTTCCATAAATATTTCTGGGTTAATTTTCTAGAAATCGTAATCTCCACGGTATTATGGCTTTAGGGCCAAATAATTACAAATACAAAATATGTAAAGTTTAGTGAAAAGAGGAGAAATGGCAACCTTGAACCCAAATTACTTACAAAAAAATCAAATTGACAGTTAAGGAAAAACATGACAAATTCAGAAAATTCCAGCAGACAATAATGAAAGGCTTAGAAGCCTGTAAAAGTAATAGAGAAGTGGTTCAAAAAGTGTACATTAGAAACCATTGGTGAAAAATGTTAATATTAACAGTCAAGATGTTTTAAAATCTTTTAAAGGGAAACAGTATTGTTGTAAGATATATTTTTAATGTTTTAATCTAGATGTTAGCTAATGTTAAGATTAAGTAAGTTTATAGAAGTAGTCCTATAGTACCTAGAATGTTACAGAATATTAGTGATCAAGAGATTTTTCAAAGTGTCTCAAAACAAGATTACATTATGAATATGAAAATCAGTGAAGCACCAAGTCAGTGTTCAGTTGGTAGTGTCAGTCATTCAGTGAAGTATGTGGATCAGTGTTAAGTATCGCATACATTCATTTACTCGATTGATTAGCAGTGGAATTATACAAGTAAGTTTATTTGTACATTAGTTGTAGTACCATTAAAGAGTAGATCTGTTTAAATTTACAATATTTGTGAACTAAGACCTACAACTGTGTACAAGGGATAGTAGCCTGCAGTTATACTAAGGATGAAATGAAGTAATTTTTTATCATTAATTGGACTATACTTGGCTTTACTTTCATAAAATAATTTAAAAGAATCCATAAAAGGAAAGAAAAATGTTTTTACTGTGTATTAGAATGGGAGTCAAGCTTTTAAAAAATGAAGATGGGAGAGTTTGATTGACCATTAACCCTGTCAAGACGGGTCATGGTTGAAAGACCATGACATATTTCCATTGACTTGCATTCACAATTTTATTGAACTACTATTTCATGACTTTATTTCAATATTTTGGTATCAAACTTTAGATTATAATTCAAATTTTAGTACTATATATTACTCAATTCCTTAGTTTAAAAGCAAATATTAAAAAGCAGATAAACATCGATTTTTGTGTGTCACGTGGTATGCTGAATACGGCACTGGTTCATATTAGATGTTTGTGAAGCCAAAATATTACGTCTATAGTTTCATACGAATTAGAAACTCAAATTACCGATATTGGCAAGATATAATATAAAATAAGAGTCTCTTTTGAATTTGCTAAGATATTGCTCATGCAATATATCAAACAAAGTGGCACCCCGCCCACCTCTTTTCATTTTTGGAATGCTCCCTTATATACTCTTACTTCTATATATG